GATAAGATTTTAGTAAATAAGTGTACTCGCCACCTTACTATAGGTGTTTGAAACGAAAACCCTGAACCTAATCCACCGTTCCCCTACCTCCTCTCCCAGAAACGCCCTTCTACAGATTCTGCTATTGAAGTTCACTAAATGTAACCTGTAGCTCTTGTCTACAATTTAGTTTATTTTGTTTTCCTTGCTATACATTTCTGCGATATTTGTTACTGGGTGTTTTTAATTACCAAGAAAAATCCTTGTTACTTTTGCGTTTTTTGCCACATTTGAGGACATTTCCGGGCCCTTCTTGGCTTCTTCTCTTTTTAAGTCTTGACTTGTTGTTAGATTTGTTATTCTTGCGATTTTTGCGATATTTGTCATGGGTATTTTTAGCTAGCAAGAAAAATCTTTGTTACTTTTGCGATTTTTGCGATCTTGCGGACATTTCGGCGCCCTTCTTGGCTTCTTCTTTTTCTAAGTCTTGTTTCTTGTTAAATTTGTTATTTTTGCGATATTTGTCATGGGTGTTTTTGGCTAGCGAGAAAAATCCTTGTTACTTTTGCGATTTTTGCGATATTTACTGACATTTCGGGGCCCTTCTTGGTTTCTTCCTTTTCTAAGTCTAGAATTGTGTTAAATTTGTTATTTTTGCGATATTTGTCACAGGTGTTTTTAGCTCGCACGAAAAATCCTTGTTACTTTTGCGATATTTGCGATATTTGCGATATTTGCGGACATTTCGGGCCCCTGCTTGGTTTCTTCTTTTTCTAGGTCTACAATTTTGTTAAATTTGTTATTTTTTGCGATTTTTGCGATATTTGTCACGGGTGTTTTTAGCTAGCAAGGAAAATCTTGTTACGTTTGGTATTTTTTTGGGCCCTTCTTGGCTTCCTTGCTTTCTAAGTCTTGATTCTTGTTAGAATTGTTATTTTTGCGATATTTCTCATAGGTGTTTTTAGCTTGCATGAAAAATCCCTGTTACCTGTGCGATATTAGCGGACAAATTTTGCTACATTTGTTACTTTTCCGATTTTTGCGATATTTGTCATGGGTGTTTTCAGCTAGCAAGAAAAATCCTTGTTACTTTTGCTATTTTTGGGATATTTGCGGACATTTCGGGGCCCTTCTTGGTTTCTTCTTTTCTAAGTCTAGAATTTTGTTGAATTTGTTATTTTTGCGATTTTTGCGATATTTGTCACGGGTGTTTTGAGCTGGCAAGAAAAAAATCCTTGTTACTTTTGCGATATTTGCAATATTTGCGGACATTTCGGGGTCTTTCTTGGCTTCTTTTTTTTCTAAGTCTCTATTCTTGTTAGATTTGTTATCCTTGCGATTTTTGCGATATTTGTAAGTGATTTTCTGACGTAATTTTTCTCAATTATTTCTTTTGTGACAATTGCGAAATAAATTTGTTAGCAAATTTTTCCTAACAAGATCGATCCTGGACATATCTCCCACAATGGGATCAATACACCCGTGATGGCACGCAAGTGATTTTATTTGCGGGAGTCTAAAGTAATCAGGGAAAATATAAATAATCGCCATGCTAGCACTAGCTTCGTTGTACAACGTGGAGCACTAGTATTTGCAATATGTTGTACAATGGAGTGGATACTAGCATTGCTAAATCGAGGTACACAACATTACTGTCCACTCTGATTTGTACTACTGGTACGTTCTTACAGTTTTGGTGTTTGGGAAGGGTATATCCTTTCATACATCGACTGGCTAGAAAATTGTTTTCAAAGAAATAGTTTGAACCTGGGGGGAGAGAAAAGGGATGCCTTTCGCGTCAACAGTGGTATATTTAACAATTATTCCTCGAGGCCGAATGGGCTATTGACTCAGAGGCCATGAGGGCGAAAGGAATAATTGTTACAATTATACTAGTTTTAGTAAAAACCAAGTGGGTCAAAAATATCGAGACAAAAACAACTTTAGCTAGCAAAACGCGATTCAGCAGTCATTGTTTTGGTTTTCAAAGCCGGCACTACTAGTGGGCTATAACATATAGCCTAGCAGTAGCTCAACCAATCAGAACGTAGAATTGATAAGAGACCACTAGTTGGATTTTACCAAAAGGGGTAAGAAGTTAGACCCTTGGTTTAGCCTACATGTATGTGTTGGCACACCCTCAAAAGGAGTGCAGAAAAATGTAGGCTACTTGCGGGGGGGGACCTCCCCTTGCAAAACGCTGTTGAGTGCCTTCCAGGAACTTTGAGATACAGCACAACCATCATGAGGTGCCAGCTGTCAAATTTGCCACTTACATACACATAGAGTGGGATATTTATAAACAAAAAAAAGTCTTAAAATATTAAAATAAAAGGAAGGAGTATAAAACCTGTCAGCATAGCCTGGAGAGCTATCCTCAATAGAATTAGAGTAGACTCTGATATATAAACTGTATCAGGCCAAACTAATGTCTACACATATATACCTGGAGTTATGAAAACCGGGTTAGCAAACATTTTGTAATTTTTCCCCCTGTCTAATAGCTTGTTTACTGTGTTGTTTGCTTATGTCTTTTTTTTTTTGCTTGTTTTGTGGTTAGGGATTTGTGTAGAAGTGGATGTAGACAGAATTACTATCTCCCCCCCGCTTCTCCCTATTTTTTTTCCTTACCCACAATTCTTTGGTTGACACAAGTGACAGTTATTTGAAATCAGTGCGCGCCTAAGGCCTGTTTCAAACGTCGCGCTACTGCCGTCCTAAGCTGGCTTGACTGTAGCTCGACTCCAGCACGACAGTTTCCAGGAGAGCATCATAATGGGAAAAGTTATTGCGATTCGCAGAGTCTGCATCGTCCAATTTCGTATTATATTCTCGTTTCATTCGGCTAAACGTACGATATTGTCCTCTTTTCTAAGGTGACCACTAAGTCTTTGGCCTCGGGAACAGGCTCTTAGGAGTCAAATGAATTGGGTGAGAGCAAAATTGCAGGTGAACTTTGACCCGGGCCAAGACTGAGTTTTTTTCTGGTGTGAAAACAAGGCTAATGTGATCCGTCGACCGTGTGACTGCACATCCGGGAACTTGAATAAGACAGTGTAAGAGAAAAGTCCAGAGGTGTTTATCTGACAATAGGCTGAGTTTTTCCAAGTTATTGGATGATATTTCGCTTATGTTTAGCGTGAGAAGATTATGCGTGGTCGTGGATAGTCTTATAAGTGCCGCGAAAGTGTGTGATCGTGTGATTTCCGCATGGTGTTGACACGTATGTGATCGCGTGGTTGACCTGCGGTTTGGCCAAAACATTCTGTGCCAGCCATTGATATTGTTTCGTCGGTGTTTAGCTTAGCTGATTGTACCTTGGAAAAGTAACTCTCGACTCAGGAAAATTGGATCTAGGTCTAGTTTCAGCGGGCTCTAATGGCATTGAGCCATAGGCCGATTTTTGCAGATAAGAAAGTGATTATTTGTGCACTACGTTTCATTCAGTTTGTTGTCTGTTCCATGCGGAATTCTGTTTATCGAACCGCGAAAAAAAAGGTCTTTTGTTAACTATTTAAGTTGTTTTGTAAGCCTTAACCAAGCACTCTTTCACTGCAGTTTACTCAACTTAAAAATTTCTAGACTGAAACGACACCGGTTTGAACCTTCGCGAATAAATGTTCTTTTCAATCGGCCTTTGAATGAGTTCTATTGTTTTAAATTGCCATGTAGTAGACATGAGTTGATGTTTTTGCTAACCAAAAATCCAGGTATATATCCTTTATTTAAAATGTTGATATTTCTTCATTAAAATATGTCTTGAGTAAAATATCAGCATCTTGTCACAATCATGTCACAATCATGTCACAATCTCATATGTTTTTTTAAACCTTCAGCTATATGATAGTGTCTACAAATAATATACAGACATACAGAAGAAATATAACCAGAGACTAAAAATTTGTTTTATCCCAGAGCTTAGACACTTATCATCAAGGCTTCCTCAGCAAAAGTGTATAATGTTCATCTGCTTATTTGCCACATGCACTTTTAAGTAAATGTGATGAAGCATAATTCATACTATGCAAAAATGATACAGACTGTAATTCAAATAATCATGGCTTCTCTAAATTTTTTTATTGTTATTACAAATCATTTAAAATTTTTAAGACCGTTAAACATCTGATCTCTGAATAGGAAGAACAGAATTTTTATACAGCTGTTGCATCTCATGAGGAATACCTACAATGTAACCAATCATTAAAAATTCTACAGAAACTATTTATTTCTTTAGCCAATATAAGTTTTTACTGTATCATTAACTGATTTCTACCAGTCCTAAGCAACCCACTACCCTAAGCAATGTGGACCTTAACATTCTTTAATACGTTACCAAACCTGTCAGTGAGGCACTAAAAGTTATTGTGAAGTACGAATAGCTGTACTCATTACGTCTTTTGCATGTGAACGGCAATATATTGTAGGAGGCAATAAAAAAAATATCTGAATGCAGTTTGAACAATATTCGCAAAGGACCTTAAACAACCTTCATCATTGTGTAACCCGCACCGATAAGGTGACGATCTGTATTTTTGACCCTCTCCCCATAAGGGAGTTTCGCTTCGAGGCAAATGAAACTGAATATTGTTCATTACTTCGCACTCGCCGAAGTTTCAAATAGGCTACTTCCAAGTTCTAAAACCCTTCACTTTCAAAATGAGGCCAAGTGCACAACCCTTCCTGTGAAATGAGTTTTATTTGCATGAGAATGAATAACCATTTCCTTATCAAAGGCTGAGCACTTAATCTCGTTTTGATACAGAGGACACAGAGGCCCGCGGGAACTCGGAAATGGCCTATTTGCCGCTTCGGTAGTCATCGGAATTTTGTATGTGCGAAGACGCCATTTTTTAAGCCATGTCAAAAATAACCAAATATAGCCAATTCTACAACAGACAACAATACCAATTGTTTTCGAATTCGATTCTCTTTTCTTGATACGAGCTAGAAAGGTCTGTTTTGGATAGTGTTTCAATCGGAAATGTACGTTGGCGGCGTCTTGTTCGTTTAGTCAAACCTCCCAGATCTCGTTCGCCTAGATACTTGTCGTAATCACCATCGACCAACGCTGACAATCGACGGTAATTTTCAAAAGATTGCTTTGAATTTTCTAAAGTATGAGTGACTGCTAACAATATTTCGTGGGCACCTTCTTTTATTAATATGTTCAATTCTTCAGCCAGCAAGACATCCAGTGTATGTCCAAAGTGTAATAAATGGTACTCCGTATGCCTCTTTAATGACAGCCAGTGACGGATAATGGAGAACACAGATGTATCTGTCACTGATTCACTGTCCGCCAAAGCGGCATTCTTTAGCAGCTGAAATGAAGTGCACAATACCTTTGCAATTTCTTCTGGTTTCATTGAAGCACGAATGACTTCCTGCACTACGCGATGTAACCTAATACATCCAACAGACTTTCTCTGGAAAAGTGAAAACTTGGTCAAAACTTCTACTATCTGGATATTCGTGAGAGGGAGTTTCCTTTTTTTTCCATCTGGAACGACACGAGAAAGCAGCTCTGCATTAATAAGTCCTTCGTGGATTTCATCCGGATCAAAGAAAGCAGCTGCATGTACAAATCTGGTTGCTATTTCTCCATACTTTGAGTTCTTCACGTACTCAAAGTTTAATAACCATGTAGTGTGGACTGAAAGACGATTTTGAGACTCGTATTCCCAGGAGGGATTTGCTTGATGCTCGCTCAACAGCTGCAACCGTTCGAGTTTGTATTGCTCCAGGTATTTACTTAAAGAGCACTGAAGCGATTGGATATGTGCACCAGCCTGCTCTAAGGCAAGGGGAAGACATCCAAGCTCAACCACCAGCTCATTTAGCGTATTCTCCTGGCCTGCGGCATTGTCATTGCCAGCACGAGTTAACAGAAACTTTTTTGCTTCTTGGATAGAAAAAGAGAAGACTTCTACACAACTATGTGGCTCAAGATCCATCCACTGACAAATTTCTTTTCTTTCCCGTCTTGTTGTTATCATCATGTGGCCATTTGACTCTCTTTTCCATCTTCCAGACAAAACTTTAAGCATGTAATCAGAAAGTTGTGGTTGGTCGACGTTGTCAAGTACCATTAACCACCGCTTTTTTTGACAGGATATAAACGAAAGAATTTTTGACAGTGTATAATCTGATGAATCTGCCATCAGTCCTAAACGTATAGCCAGGTCATTGACACAACTGTCAAACTTCTTCTCATCCTCCATTGACACCCAAAATACACCTCCCTCGTATTCTCGTTTATGTTCCCAAGCAAATTGAGCTGCTAAAGTCGTTTTTCCACATCCACCAAGGCCACAAATAGCCACCATTCTAAAGTCGTGGTCGCTGTTTTTCAAAGCAAGGCACCTTTTAAGCGATTCTATCTCTATTTGTCTTCCTGTAAACCACTTGTTTCGATCTGGCGCATCAAAAACTTCCGGTCTCAGCTCTTGGTTTGACAGTGCTTTTTCGTGCCCGCCTCTGATCACTTCACAAAACATTGCTTGAATTTTGTCAAACTCACACTTTAGCATGTCACGTACTTGCTGCTTTATATCGCTATTTCTTTTTTCTAGTGACCCAGAAAGCGCTTGAACTTCATCGCGTATCGCATGAAGGAAAGAGTCATCAAGGGGCTTACCAACACAGAATTCTAATCCTATGCAGAATGAGAACAGACAAGCAGTCATTAGGCCATTAATAAATCTTACAAGTAAACCTCTACTACACTCAATTACCATTATTCTAAACTGAACGACTAGACCAGTAAAAAGAAAAAAAAGGAATGCTCCTCAGGGAGAGGTTTTGATCCAAATTGCATCAAAACAGACAGTGGATTCTAAGAATCGACTATTCCTTCAGACAGCTCTCATTGACACTGGAATTCATGCCATAAATGGACTTTCCTGGTCACCAATTTTTGATAAGCGTGAGCTGAGGTGAGAGAGAAACCCCAATACATGCCCCTATCAATGATATTTTTTAAATCTACTAATTTTAACGCGTTTTTAATATTGCTGAGAGGCGATTTTAGGGACAAGACATTGTTGGTCGAGCTACGCTTTAGTTGTGCGATGACTTAATTAGGGGGGGAGAGAAGAGCGGGGGGTTGTACCAAAGTATCACGTCCGCCCTGGAATTTTAAAAGACTGCTTTTGAAATACAGTTCGTGTTGACTTCAAAAGACGTGATTTTCAGCTGAGGGTAGCACAACATCAAATTCCCATGCAACACGCGAGAATTTACCGCGCTTAGTTGCCCTCTGAATTCGCTTCAGTATTCACTCCCTTTTGAGCCTAAGTTATTCAACTTTAGATTTTTTCGATCGACACCAAATTCGGGGATTAAATAGTACACTGATCAATTGATGTATTAAAAAAGTTTTAACAAAATTAATCGACGAAATTTTTCTTAAATCGCTGTTTTCGTGAAAGTAGCCTTAGAAATTACAAAAAGAGCTAAGCACTGCGTTTTACCCTGATTCATACGTTTTCATGTGTTTCGAAATCGCACAAGTGTACTGGCGTTCAGCGGCTTCTAGAATGTATAAGGGTCATTTGCAAAACGAACGTCTGAGGGATAAAACCTTTTGGGAAACATCCAAAACGTAGCAAATCTGTCTGCATTAAGTCCAGTCTTCAGTGCAGGCATAATTTATACCCTATTTATAGAAATTCCAAGATATCTCGAAATTCTTCTTATAGATGTTTGCGAAACTTCGCACAGCAGAAGACATTTATCTAAAGAATAAGTAGCGAGACGTATTTAAAAAGAAAATGCCTGAACAGGGCTGAAATTCGATTTAGAGCTAAAACCATCGTGACGTCATTATACATGACATATATTCCGATCACCAAAAAACAATACCATAATAAAGTTTAGTCTAAGTGTAACCCATGTGTCATAATCGTTTTACAATACAGATCGATTTGTTTAAGTATAAGAGATTCAAAGACGGAGAGTTTTCCTATAAAAATACTGGGTCGAGCCACCTTAAAGTACGCACTAAAAACTGAGGTGAATGGCAGAAGTTTCATTTCAGGCTTTGGAAAAATCACTTATACAGGCAATTACCTCTCGGGATATCGTTTAGTAACAATACTGATTTCCGGCCCTATATAATTCATAACTGCAGAATACAGGAGCGAGCTGACTCGATCTGACGGACAAACCAAATCAAATCAAATGAAATCACTGGTTTATTGTCCCTTTTGCAGTCAGAAGACTGAATTGTAGGATACCTTAAATACCGATATTTTTCAATCGCTTTAAAAGTGATTAATTTTATCCTTGTCTGATCGCTATAAAATTTTCACCAATGACTGACTATAGATTAAAGTTTGTCAAAATGTAAGTTTTAGTAAAATCGATAATACTATGACAACAATAAACAAAAAACTTTCAAATTGAAAAATTCCTAATTTTGCTCGATCTAGACCAGCTACTGAAAATTCAACACTACTGGAACTTAAAGTTTGGTGTTTAGCAAATAACCTTCGTAAGAAGTAAAAAAAATTGTATGTTTAATTCGACTGAAACCAAAATATATTCCAAACCTTAAATTTTAAATAGCTGTGATAGATTATTTAATAAAAACGTTATAAACCACTCAGATTATTCTTAAGTAGCGTCAGAATGCTGCTTAATATCATATTTCGATGCTAGAAAACTTGACGGTGTATTTTCGTTCTTGCGATCTTAAAACCTAACTCGTTTCATTCAAAATTTGGACTTTTAGCGCTTTTTTGTATATCTCTGAAACGACTAGAACGAATTTTTTTAAAATCTCTTCACATAATCTTCATAATGTATATAACAATGTCTGAAACTTTCATTAAGATTGATTCACTGCAATACCTTGAAATTTCAAGACAAACCTATCCTACGAACCGGTCAAAAATCCGCGCTAAAACACACTGTTTTGATGTTAAGCTAATTTTTCCAAATTAATGCGGACAATACATATATCCATGACAAGTACATTCCAGTGTGAGCATTGTCAATGTTTTACATTCAAAAGATGCGATGAATTCAAACTAAAATGTACTAGTGATGGAGTTGTGTATAGTGCGAGTCGCCTTTTCTCGCGTGGGGTGTTTTTCACGCGCACTCGCGTTTCGCTCGCTCTACTATCCCTGAGGAAAAATGGGGGACTACTCGTAGCCTAAGTCCTTGTGGCCAATAGACTAATAACTGGAGCGGAAACGCTTGCTACGGAGGCTAGATTTCTATGAAAAACAAGTTAAATTTACAATTCAACGACACGGAAATTCAAAATATTATAATTTTCAGTACATAAAATACCTAACGTTGCTCGATCAGATGTTTAAAATTTAGCTTAAAAAGTTGGATAATCCCCTCTTTGCAAATGGTAACCGATCCCTACATTTCTGTAAATAAACTCCCCAACAACCTTCGGGGAAATCAAGTGAAGGCTAGTGAAAAATAACCAGCTGGAACTCTGTTTTTCAGCTTTGCTAAACCGCATATTATTTTTAAATATTCCAATTTTAATGATTTGAATATTAGCGTCAAGTGAAAAACATCACCACAAGACGCTGGGGACGTAAATCTCAACAAATTCTATGGTTCATTTCTGAGAGCCACCAGCTGAAGCATATATTGTTAAGCACTATACTATATGATCAAAAAATGGGTATTGGTATCTTACCGTGTATCCTCCACAACTGCAGATTACCCAGGAGTTTTTCTTCCTCTGCTGCGGTAAATCCTAGTTGTTCAACCAAGGTTTTCATTAGATCAAAGCATGTATCGTATTTCACGTCTGTCCATGATGCATAGTCACAATGGGCCCATTCGTTTCGTACTTCAGATCTCACACGTAGAGCACACAGCTTCGAAGACGTAAATGGCGTAGCACAGCAAAGAACAGCCAGAGCCGCTGAAGCATCAAAAGAACTGTCAAATGCATTGAAATGTGCCATGTGAGACTTTATAAACAACTTAGCCAATGACACTTCATCTTGTACACTATAGTCATAGTAATGCGGGTCTCGAGACCCGCCGGCATTGTTGTTGATGCTTTCGTAGTTCAGCTTCATTTTAGAAATAGTTCTCAGGTGAGGCGGATACGTTTGCTTGTCTATACCAAAATTTGCAACCAGATTTTGGTAAAATGGGGTCATTTCCTGTTGAATCTTCATTCTAAGATACGGCATGAGAACTCTATGGAGAACAGTGCCAACTACCAACCACCGTCGATGTGGTATGTCTGTTTCGGTTGACGATGCCATGTCGGGAACAAGCTATAAGCTTACTTGACACCTAAAAGGAAGATATAGCTTTAATTAACTTAAAGATAACAAAATTTGTTATATTCCTAGAAGTTCACTCAACTAAACAGGGTCTGCCATTGGTTGATTCTTGGTCACGTGGCCTTGACTAAAATCAAATGTATCCCGATCGTGATACATTAAACAATGTATTCCGCTCGGGATACATTGCAGCACGTGATCAAAGCATGGTGGAAAGTGGCGTGATAGAAGGCGGGAAAAACACCGCCAGGTCCTGCCGGTTTTCTTTTTCGTGAATGAACACAACAACACAATCACGAAGCCTCAAGCTAAAAAGCAACGATTTTTAAAGTTATCACAGAAGTTCCCAGAAGAAAGACAGCAGCTAGTGGAGGAAAAAGATGCAGATGATATAAGGAAAGTACTTTTGTTTGTAAATCGTTCTTTCAGTGGTTTTGAGAATTAAATTTGTGTCATAAGTACCTAGTCGACTGTTTTGGTTCGTTTTCGTTCGCTCCGGTTATTCTTTTGTTGCTGTTGAAGTGAAAGTTCTAGAAATATAACAAAACACTTAATGTCAGATCCCTCGGGAAACCAGTTAGTTTTGTTTGCCCTCAAGTCCTGATATTTCCCTCGACTTCGTCTCGGGAAACATCAGGACTCTTGGGAAAACAAAACTAACTATTTCCCTTGGGATCTGACATCAAGTGTATAATATCGGCTAATAATAATTGACATTTTAATATTAAAATAGTTACCGTGTTTTGTTTGGGTCTTTGTTATTTAATGTTTGTTTGTTTATTTGTTTAGTTGTTTGCTTGTTTTTTTGGTTTTTTGTTTTTGGTTTTTTTGTTGAGTTAGGGATGTAGGTTTTTAATTTATTATTATACATTGAACTCACTATCTCTTTTCTGATTGGCCGAAAGCTTACAGTGAATTTTCGAAATCAGCACCTGGGACGTCATCTAGCTGTAGATTATAAAATAATCATGTCAAGGCCCATGTCACGGGTAATCATGTCATGTATGACCGCGGTGCATGATTCCAAGGGTAATCATGTCAAGTTCGCGCGCTTTGTGTTGCTAGCCGTCAGTGAAGAAGCAAAAAAATGACTTCCAGGTTTGCTTCGTTACCGAGCAAGTCATCGAAAAAATAGTTGAAGACAAGGACTAACAAAACACAAAAAGGTCGACGAAGGTGGCAAAGGAGCTGTTTGCTGATTACGTGAAAGAGAAAAAACTGAGAAAACTTGAAGAAAAGAAAGAGTCGGCACAAACTTTGAAAATATACATTTTATGCCAAAGCGAGAAGGAAAGAATTCGTTCAGTGTATAGTAAAACAATTATTAGATTCGGTTTTCGTGATATCCAGAATAATCAAGGTCTCAGTAAGGGTTATCAGCCTCAACCGTCGGCTTCGGCTGCTAACCTCTACCTCGGCCTTGATCATTCTGGATATCAGAAAAACCTCATCCAATCATTGTTTAATATTGGTGGTCTGCCTAATATGGGGTTTAACCGTTCTATGGAAAAGCCTTTTATAGCTATATCTTTCATTGTTACTTTTATTTTTTTTTTTATAATCTTGTTTCTTTTTATGATTAAAATGCCCCCCCCGCCCCCACCCCCAAAAAAAACGATTAAATAAGTAAGGCAACATAACATAAGGACATAAATTAGTACTATCTGCACCTACCATGAATATTTATATTACTTTTACCACAAAGAAAGCAAAGAAATGTAAAAATTAATCATAAATTATACTAAGTACAGTAATATATGGAATAAGCACCGTTGTAATCTAGTTTATATTTGTAAGTACTGCCATGTAAGTGTGTGAATTACAATTTTTTTCTTTTTATTTATTTATTTATT